ACTAGTCTATCATCAGACCTCGAGCTCATCATGTCATTAATCTCTATTGATGAGTGCTTCAGCTCTCCCCAGCCACCCAACATCAAGTCTGAACGCTTGAAAGTCAAAGTCAAGAGCCAGGGTGCCAGTCTGGTTAGTGACCCAGCACAGCCCTGTCTATTATAACCTCGTCGAATTTGTTTGCTGATCGTGACCATTGAACCAACAGACCGTGGCAGAGCTCAAGAAAGCCATTGTTCGCAAGGGTTACCCCAGTCTCTGTGATGCCTCCCGGATCACCCTTATCTTGCCAGTCGGTTAGTGATCTCCCATCCTGGGCTGATCGCTCTGTCCACCACTCTCGCTGACTCATCTTATCCCCTCCAGGTCGTGGCTCGGTCCTGGATGACCAGATGATGGCTTCTGACCTCGAGCACAATGCTTCACTCTTGGCATTGATGTCATCCACCCCACGTGAGGCTAGAAACCTCCACAACGACGGAGGCTTGAATATCCCCCACATCCTCTACGTATACCACTCCAGCAACCTCAAGACCTTCATCAAGTTCCCCCTCGGGGTCATGGTCTCACAGGCTGGACAATGGTCCACCTGGGCCACCTCCTGGGCCGCCTCAATCTCAGACTTGGTCCAACAGTTTAGCAACATCGGCTTTTCACAGGACCTGGTAGCCCGGGAGCTCCAACGTCTAGAGCACCGCAGATTGCCCGAAGACCTCTTGGTCTCATCTCACCGAGGCGCTGGAGTATTGGCTCCTAACCTGATCTTCAGACTCTGGGACGCTGCAGGCCTCAACCGCCTCGTCGCTTCTCAAAGGCACACTCTCTTGCGCAACCTAGCCTCCCCATCCGAGTTTGAGGTGAGTACAGACGACGCGCCGATTCAAGGGTTTTCTGATTCTGATCGCTCTACTTGCATTATCTCCATCAGGTCTTCAGCGCGTCTTCATGCTTCTCGGTTGACACCGATTCAAGCGAAGGCACTGTCCTGGGCCACACCCCTCCATCCTCGCCGCTTCAATCCAGCCCCTCTGCCTTGCCTCCTCCTGTGCCAAGTGTCACTATGGCCTCTCCGAGTGAACACGAGTCTGCATACGACGACGTGTTCTACCAGTCTTTCTCGCCCCCGGCTCCCACCGTCCACGGCAGCGACTGCTCCTCCGACTCTGATCGCAGTGAGCCCCAGTCACACATGGACTGGACATCCGGTCAATCCGATTTCACACCCATGTCCGCAACCTCGCGTCTGAGCAAAATCATCCGAGTTAGTCTCCCACGCCTTCTTCTGTTCCATCGAGCTCTTCTTCCTCCGTTGTTCCAAACTAACGCGCCCGTTCTTCACCTGTTTTTAGAAAGTGGGGGACTGCACCAGGGAGCGCGACCGTCTAGTGACCGACTCGCTCACCGCCAAGCAATCCGGCTGCACTGACACCGACCAAGTAGTCACCCTCCTCGAACACCAGGCCAGGAAGTTCGAGGCCGAGCGTCTCCAATATACCCAAGAGCTTCAGACCCTTACCTCGGCCAACGCAGCCCTCAGAGCAGAGGTTGAAGCCGAAGTCCGCACTGTTCGCGAGGTCTTCGAAGCTGTTGACCGCATGCGCGATGAGGATGAGGCCACCCAAGCCAAGGCCGACACCCTCAAAACTCTCCAAGAGGTCAGTCATCCTCAGATATGAACCCAACCATCGCAGTTTATTTATCTTTTACTTGAACGTTTCTTTACACAGATCAAAGACAATCTATCGAACGTGTTGACGTGTTCGATCTGCTGTGAACGCTACGGCTCCTTGTCGGACAACATCACCCGCCGGCCGATCCACCTGTCGTGCGGACACATCTTCTGTGCCAGCTGTCTGCACGAGGACTGGAGCCATCGGGCGGCCGACGGGATCGAGCCCCAGGCTCGCTGCTTCAACAGATGCGCCAACTTCGACGTCAACCGACTCGCCGAGATCTATCTCCTCGACGACGTCAAGGAAGTCTTGGAACAGTTGCCCGATATCGAAATGGCTCAGTGATTCGGGGCCCTCTCGGTTTGCTCTACTCTTCACTAATCCCATTATCCGCTTATGGTCTTGGACACTAAAACTCGAACCAAACACACCCAATCTTGTATCCTTGTATCCATCCTTCGCAGTATTTTCTTGACCGCGTTTTTTTTTTATTACGACGGTCCCCTTTGTTGATTGTAACCTAGTTAGTTGAAGTTTGTAACTTTGGTTTTCGTTTGGTTTTTTTTTTCGGACTTAGAGAAAGTTGGGTTCTTTGGATTCGGATTTCACGTTTTTCCTTCTTATCTTCTTCTTTTCGCCTGCGATTTTTTCGTTTTTTTTGTTTGTTTGATCATGAGTCAGTTTATTATTTTATACAGAATGAAAGGTTGTTTCATTGTTGGTTTGTTTAATCCTTATGTAATTAGTGATCTACCAAGTTTGTTTTGTTACTTATCTATAATGAAAATCGAGTCTCTTCCCAATAAGTTTTTGCATTACTTGTCTTGTGAAGTGCTCAAGACTAACAATGATTGAAAGGGGGCGAGCAATTCGCATGATATTAATGGTTGATTGCTCGGTAAAAGCGGAAGAAGCCAGCTCATAATCCGAAGGCAACGACTTATGTACATACACACCCAGGCTTTTCTTAGGCCACATTCAGTGGCACAATTGCTCGTCTCATAAAATCTGGTCACGTCTACGGCCCATCTCTTGTAATCTTCTGGATGGCAGGGGCGGCAAAGTTCTCCTTTGACCGGACCTTCTTTGCGACACATCTGAGATATATTAGCAGAGTCCACCAATATTGTGATTGGGAATTGGAACCAAGAAAACTAGGCATGATACTAATAATGCTCAGTAGAATGGTGAAAATGAGTGTCGGGTTTTGTCTATGACTATCTTGGGGACCATTTGCTCAATACCTGTTCCAGCAAAGTTATCAGAATATCAGTCACACAGAGAAATAGAGTGGACTATTTCAGGTTCAATAAATTTATAACTACACATACGGATCCGGGCCTCACCTTGGTCAACCAATTCAACAAACGTTTTCGAATAATGGAATCCATGGAAATATATCTGGCGGCGACCAGCGAGATAACGGAAGACCTTCCAACTTTCGTAGAGGTTAATTGAAGCTAGACGGAGGGTATCTTTGAATTGAAGGAAGTGCTCAAGATGGGCCAAGGGGATGAGACGGTAGATGTATGTGAGCTCGACTGTCCTGAAGACACATTGCTGCAAGAGCAAGTGCTCGAAGAGATCGACATGGGTGAAGATCGAGTCGCCGGTGTTGACCCGGATCAGTTTGAGCGCGCTTTCCAAGGGCATGATCTTGTGCAACAGAGCATTCAGCCTCTCCAGCCATCCCCACGTCACCATATCCATCACCACATCAAGCACATCGCCCCTCAATTCGCCCGGCTGGAGCGGAATCAATGAGCGGCTTCCTGCCCCGCCCGACGCCCTTGAAGATGATTTGATGGGATTGTCAAGATCTGACGGCTCTCGTCCGTTGACTTCTTGCTCCACTAGATAATCAGCCATCCTTGGCTCCGTTATTGTCCTTCGGTAAGACACATGTCTGCGAGTTTTCATGGCAATCAGAATTCATTGCAAACAGGTGCTAGGCTCGAAACTCGTTCTTTTTGTTTTTTTCTGGTCATACATACTTGATTTTCTTGTGAGCTTTTCTTCCGACCTTGGTCCTCGATCCAACCAACTTGATCCTCGCCGACCCAGAGGGTATAATGTTAGATGGCTGCAGTGGTCTAAGCACGACGCCCTTGTCGAACAGCTTGAACAACCGATCTCGCGCAGAGGTGGGCATGAGGCTGTGGATGGCTTGTAGCTCGGTGACATTTTCTATCAAGTGGAAATTGATGTTGATAGCCTTAGTCCTGTATGCACTGGTTGGTTGTTGGATTATCATGTTGTTCCGCTGGACGATTTCGTCTTTGAAGCCTGCAAGCTCTTTCTGGAAATGCATGGATTGGTACTCCAACGCTGGTTCGAGACCCGGCAGGCATCAGTCTCAGCATGTCATAAATAAAATCCGGTGGGGCAAAAAAAAAACAAGGAGATGGGGGGTTTTGGGGGTGTACTTTGGACCGATTTCATGAAGGCCTTGTATCCAGGTTCCATGTTGGCTGGCAGGAAAATCATCAGTTATGTGCTCTGAAGCTTTGATGCCCCCACGTATCTTTAATGGGTCTATAGATGACTTACGTAACTCGGGCACCTTGAATACGGGTTTCTTGGTCTCTCCGAGCCTCGTGCCAACCTGCGGACTTGTGGACGGAATCTGGCGGGAAGGTTGATTAGGAGTTGGATGAGGATTGGCTATCCCTGGGGGCGAAATACTCCAACCCGCATCGCGCATAGAGGATTCAGCGGACTGATCGAGCAGCTCTCTCGGTTGGGAGCGTCGGTCTACTAGAGACACATACCCGAGTCGCTTTGAGGCAAAACGATAAGAGCAGTTTGGTTTGCTGGCCCGGGAAATGCATCTTCCCTATTTGTCAGTGGGAATTAGCACTTGATCAACACCTATATGGCCAATGGACTATATAAGTAGTGGCAGTACAACTACCCCGTTAATAGTTTGTTATAAGAGTTAACATCCGAGTCTTCCCACCTCGCTAAGCTGCATGCCAAGGTTTGCCCCCCCCCCCCCCCATGTTTGAAGCACATCGTAAGAATAAAGTAAGGGGGATTCAAAATGATTCATTCCTCAGTGGGACGTTTACATGTATTGTACCTGCATAAGAATTTCCCTTTGGTGAAGGTCCCAGAGCGGCTGGGCTTCACATAAAACATCATGTTTCATGCTAGCTAAACTTACCATTGGCACCACCCATGGCGACACACTATTCAAATATGGATAGATCCACTGAGACGCTGAGAGGAACTATACAGGAGGAGGTCCGCGCTCTCAGTTTCTCTCATCTTTTCTCGAGGCTTCTCAGAAATCTCAGTGCTGAAAATTCATCCAAGTGCGACATCGAAGCTTGGAATGGCACACAAAGAACCAACCCCTGTTCGATTCCCCTTCATGGGAATCATAAATCCACCTGAAGCTGGGACTATACTTGGGCCTCTCGGGACTGCTCTTGCTGGGCCAACTTGCTCTTCCAACACCTCCTGGGGCCTGGGAATTTCCAAACTCAACGGTTCACGATAACCACTAAACAATCACCTAAATGGCTTATTCCCAGCTCACAACAGGGTCAATCCTAGGCAACAGCACCTCCATCAACTGGGCGAGATCCGTCACCGCAACTGGAACTCGACACTAACCAGAATCAGCAGCAATTCATTCAATCAAATGGTCACTATGGTCAGCACAGCAGCCCATCAATGTACGACTTTGGCGATGACCGACTCCAGTTGCTGCCATCTGAGCAAATCTATGTCCTCCCAAATTCTCAACAACCAACTGGCGTGCACTTTAGTCAAAGTCAACAGACCACATCCGGTTCTTCCAACAGAGCTTACATCCCTCAATCCGCACCATTACAACATAGTCTAACCAAACGTATTGCTTCCGCTTCCGCCAATGAAGTCTATATACCCCAATCCACACGATTACAACATTGTCAAACCCAACCAAATACATCAACTGCTTCCAACAGAGGGGTCATCCCTCGTACAGCTACAACTCCCAGCGGGTATCGTGAAACCTCGACATCAAAGCAGCCGACTTACACCCCACTTGGAACTCACCACTCCCCAGAAGCACAGCCAACTCCTCAACAGGGACACCCACAACGGAACCCAGCCCCAGCCCCCACACCCCTCCCTCCAGTCAAGCCTGTGAAGAAACCGCGTAAGAAAACTGTACGTCAGTATGCAGAGGCCAATCCCAATCCCAACCCAGCACCGGCAGCCACCAGCACTCCACAAACTCCAGCAGCATCAAACGTTGCTACTCCTGCCCCAGATCCCACTACACGCGAATCTGTTACCCGATTTTTGGCTGTGCCAAACTCAAACACTGTGCCATCTGTGCGAGTGCCCCCAACACTCGAGTCATACGCTTCTAAAACCATCGACGAACTTCGGGCTATTGCACTTGCAAAATCTAAAAAGGTGATGACTCGAGATGATGAATTATACTTCTTCCAATACCATGAGCTACAAAAGACCGAACTCACCCTGGCAGCGATTAACCGTGGTGTATCAATGAGTATGGTAGAAAATCTGATGTACGTATTGAATCTCATCTCTCTACTTCCAACTAGTTTGCTGACTTGGTTATCAACATAGGGGCAGGAAACAGGCTATGAGGGAAGCCTCGGGATGGAACAACTTTCAGACAAAGCATAAACACTTATTTGAAGGGAGTAAGTCATCCCCCCATGCATTTCTTATGATCTTATACTCACTTTCAAACATTCCATCAACTAGAAGGAAAGGGTGTAAAGGGCTCTGGTGCCATGTCGCTTCTGTCGACAAAGTGGCAGGGCTTAACACCCGAAGAACGTGCAGCCTACCAGACCAAAAATCTCCCTGGCATTGTCGAAGAGGATGAGACGATCATGGATTCTTCAACTGACGTGCCTGATCTTGCAATGGTCACCGGCCTCAGAGCACACTCTAAATCACTCAAGATAGCTGAGAAACGAGTTGACGACTTCATGAAGGAGTGGAACAAAAAGGTAAAACAAACTATCAACTGTTAAAGGAATACATACAAGCTTGCTCACTCGATATGACTTCGTTATCAGGCAGTTCACATTGCGGCCAGCAACCACTGTGAACTGGTCATGTTTGCGGTTTCAAATCACCTTCACAGTCACAATTTCCAGCTGGCACACTCAACACCGGGGGCGGCCGATTTTGTCAAGCAAATATACGAAGCAGACGGTATTCGAAACTACCAAAGCCGAATCCAGTCTTATTGTACTGGTGCTGAGATTAACTCAATTAGTGCTGCAGTTACAAAAAAAAATAACAAAAAAGGAATGAATGATAGTGCAGTCGCTCAAGCCCGAGCCAAGCTAGCCGATTTTGTTTGTAAGTGCCTACCGTCCCTCAATGTAATCTTCCCACCACATCCAATCCGAACTAAAGCATCTGACTTTTTCCAATGCATGCACGTGTAGCACGTGAGACTGGTGGTAGGAAGACTTCTTGGTCTTGGCAAGGTTGTGATAAAGCACTAGGTCGACTTGGATACAAGCTTATCTTCTTACCGGGGGCCCTGTCAAACCCAGATTGGATCAAAAGCCCAAGTAGTCGATTCCTCAATAACGAAGCGAAGCTAATAATGGATGACATAGACCAAGACCTCATTCGAATTGTGAAAGACAAGGATGCCTTGATGGGCCATATTCGTCAACCAACCGGACCGGTAAAAAGGAAGACGTTGCATGTTTCAACAGGTCCAGATAACGAAGGAAACAACGAAAACCGTACTAATTCGCTTCCAACTCCATCCACAACCAAAAAACAAAAGCGGGTGAACACAAGACCTAGGAAGACCGCTCCCCCAAAAAATGGGAACCGACGACGCAAACGATACCCAAGCCTCACACCCGCTGAGCGAGCACTCGACTCCAGTAGTGGCTCTGATTCCCCTCTCCAGCGTCCAGGAGGCTTTGAATTACCAGAACACAGCCTCGGTGATACCGACATTGACAGCGACCAAGAGGAAGTTCCCCCACATCGAGGCAAACAAGGGCCAACTGTCACTCATTCCAACACCAATTTCGATGATGAAGACGAGCCAGCTGTCCCCAGACGTAGACGGGTTGTTGTAGATACTAATGAAGGCCAGGATCATATCGGAGAACACCAGAGTCTCTCAAACCCCGCTCCTCGTCAAAACAACATTCATCAATCAAACAGGGCAGCAGCTTGCGCCAGCCTCTACCTCCGGGCCTGCAGTTAACAATTAGCGGTTATTTTTCGGCTGTTTTGGTGTCTGTTTGGTCACACATTTTTCCATTTAATTTTTTCACTTTTCTTCTTTCCAAGTGTTGTTTTTTCTTGCTTATGTGTCAGTCGAGCAACAGCAAGCTCGGTCAATTTGGCTGTGATATGTATATAGTTGTGGTGCAAGTAATGAGAGTTTCTCTAATCCACATCTTGACCTCCACCGATGGCGCCTTTGGAGTCTTCAACCTCACACCTTGAACTGATAACAATGCATCCACCTGGCTCCTCCTAGTCGTGAGCATCTCACCATCTCGCGACTGGTATGGCTTGGCCTTC